CATCACAGATGCATACTGCATTGGACAAAGAACACATGCATGCATTTAAATCATGTATATCTTACTTTTTACTGATGTAATTGTGAAATATGTCCTTTTTGCATTCATAATTAGGGGGTGGAACAGATGGTGAAGGCTTAGTTTAAAATAATCTGTCATTAAAATAACCTAGCCTACTGGTAATTCTTCACTCTAACTGGAGTTTAGATCAGGGTAACAGGGTTTTTTTAAGCATTGGAATACACTAGAAAGAATTAGGGACTTCATGGATAGTGTGAAATATGAGGATATTCTCCAGAAGGACACCGTAGTAAGAATCCAGTGAATTAAATTTGCCTGTAGTGGGAATATGCAAAAATGGCTGGGACAAAATTCCTCTGACAAATATAAATCCATTTACTATGATGCATTATACATAAGTGCATATTCGGTCAAAGTGGTACACTAGGTTTCATATCCTGAAAGGAAATAACCTCACTATGCTTCAAATACTGTAAAAGGCAGTGAGTATTTTGGGCTAAAAATCTGTGCTTTACATTTTTGTATTATTCTGATGTCAGAGGATATAAATTATAATAATTTGCATTATTGTTCTGGGGTGATGTAGCTAGTGACTTTTAAATCTGAGTCTCACTTCCTTCATGTCTACCACATTGACTTGCTCGTATGTGACAAAGAGAAACTTGTATCAGGCCTGCCTGGCTAATTTAGAACAGTTTTCAGGAAAAATATAACTGTTTCAATAAATCACATACTTGCTTGTCTTTAAAGCATTTATTTTAGTGTTCCCTTCAAGATTTCATTCTTTAACAGCTTTGAAGAGAGCATATAGATTTCAGCATGGTATTATGATAAATCTTCTTGAGGAGGGGCAAGCATTAACATTTGTGTCGGTTCTTTTTCATCTTAATCCAACCTTGGTTAATAATCAGAAAATTCTACATAGTGGGTAAGAAGATGTAATTAACCCTTTGACCCCAGAATCTTAATTGGCGCCTGTTGAAAACAGTGGGGCAGTTAAAAAAAAATAAATTAAAAAGTAGCCTGTGGTGATTGAAACAGCATAATACATAATGGTTTTCTGAAATCAAAAGTAATAGAGAGCTTCAGCTTTAATCACATTTTGCATAAAGCCAGTAAGTGTAGTTTTAAACAAGAAGTTGCCAGTCTACCTTAAATTGGATTGTGCTCAAAATTGGCATTTGAGGTCACCCTGACCCTTTCCCAGCTGCCACACTAGATGAGATAGTTGACTGTCATAAACCTACAGTCAACTGCATTTGCCTTAAAATATAAAAGAGAGAAATTAAGTCAAGAAAACTTTCCTTGTATTCATGGTCTCTCCTTCTATGAAAATAGGACATTAAGAAAACACAGCTACCTTTTCAGACCCTATTTTTATATTATAGTTAATTGTGGAATGTCCAAAACAGAAAACCTTCTGCCTGTGAACAACATTAAAACTCTTCAGAAATTCTGGCTGGAAAGCACTGTGGTGCTCCTTTCAAAAGTGATATTTAAAAGCTGACTCAATCCACTACTCTTCTTTCATTTATTTTGTCCTTAGTTATACATAAGTAATATGAATAATACTTCCAGATATTTCTCATTAAAACAAAATTGTTTGTGAATATGTAGTATACAGTGGCATCACATACTCTTCTCCAGTATATAACATAACCTGTGTTATGTTGCCTTGCACCTTCTCTGATGTTTGCTGCTCTCTTGGCACGCACAAAGGACGTACGCTTTATGAAAAATTGAAAAATTTCAACACGCATTACTTAAATAATAAATATTCATAAATAATACCTATGAATAACGAATGAGACAGTCCTTCAGAACTACTGTTTGACCTGTAAAGAGAACAACAACATTGTCACAAAAGTGGTCCGTCTCAACCCTTTCATACTGGTGGGAGGAACTGCCTTGCATTGGAAGATGGCTATTTCTCCTCCCATTTTTATTGTCATTTTTCTTGGGTATTGGATTCTGAGCTTAGTACTTGGGGCTTTTGTTCTAAGGTCTTTGTATTTTGGGCATGGTAGGAGTTAGGTGTCCATTAGCTGTTAGTCAGTGGCTCTTTCAAAATACAATTAAATAAAACTTCCTAATTTTGTTCTACTGAACAAAATGCTGAATTTGGTCAGTAGTTGCACATAAGCATAGCTTCAGAGTGATGGAAAAAGAAATGGAGAAAGAATGACCGTGACTCATTAGTCTCAGCTGGCTTAATGAACAAATGTTATGGCACAGGAAGTGACTAATCACGTCCAAAGGTGTTGGTGTGCTGCACTGGCCCTGCCAGTCCTTCAGCGGTGCCTCCTCAGTTACCTAACTTGTAAAACTTAGGGGCAAAAGTAAGGAATATTCTTCCAGAAAGAAAGAGAAAAAAAAAAAAAGACTAGGCTAATAAGCTAATAAAGTAAAGCTATTTAAAGGAAAGGAGAGAATCAGAGTTAATGGCAAGAAAAAGTAGCAAGTGCTTAAGATGACTAACACTTCTCATTTCAACATGCTTCCAGCTGCTGATGACTTCCAAATTTTAGCCATGGAGGCTGAAATTTCTTTGAACAACTATGTAGGCTAGAGATAGCTTGTTTGTTTATATTTTTTCCACCAAAACTGGTTTCAGCCAATTTCAAAACTACACTGAGCGAAACATTTCAGCCTAATCAGTACTCAAAGCTTTCTTCAAACTTGTTTCATTAAGCCTAAATTCCTAAATAAGATGATGTGTATGAAAGAAGCAGAAAAGACATCAATGACTCAGAGAATTATTTTTTCTGGTTCTTACAAAACTTTGTGTAGATATGCCAGATAATTACACACTAATACAGTGTGCTAAGCAGACCAGATCACAAATGCGCTTAAACTGTATGTCATTCTCTCAAGTAACAGAGCAAAGGGGACACAGAAAAAGCTATATAAAAAAAACTGAGATGAGGGAAGTTGTTTTTATATGATACACAAATAACCTATGAAACATTTTTTTCTCAAGAAAGGAAGATATCACAATCATGCCAACTACTAAGAAGGGGTTAGTAAGAAACTCTGGTAGACTTGTCATTGCCAGTGTGGCTATTCCACTGTCCTGAAGCATCTCTGTACATCCTGTCAGACCCAGGGAAACTGACTGCTGCAGATAGGCCTTTAGTCTGAGTCAGTGTGACAATTTCTTCTTGTTGGTAGAGAATGGAGTTCTGTATAGGTGGCCAGGGAGACAGTGTCATGGTTCTCAGCTCAACAGAGGCTTAAACCAGTTTCCTCAAAGGAACATGGGACAGAGAATTAGGAGCACTTTAACTAAGACCTTTAAAGATTTACTTTTCTGAATAAGAGATTGTACATAGTGAGAGAGATCAGATGTGCAAAGGTTTTGATTGTCCTGGTATTGATGTAAGTTTGAACTTCACTGTTCCAAATTTTCCACCTGTTATTGATGTTAAAAATTCAAGGAAGTGATGTTAATAATTTGAGAAAGAAATTATGATGATTTATAAGAGGCCATAAATTACTTGCATAATATAAATGTTTTTACATGAAGGAGATCCATGCAGATTTACATTTTTATTAATTCATAAATATAAATTAGAGTCTTTTTTAATGCAGTGTCTTTAGTGAGGGTTTGTTTTCCAATATGCAGTCTATTATTTTTCGAAAATTCAGATTTTGCACTAATTCCAGCACCTACTACATCAGAGGGGGGTGAACTTTTGCCAAAGACAGCTTTTGACTAGCAGCCTGTTAGAAATTAGTCAAGAAGCAGAAGAATAAAAATATTTAAATCCCTCAGAAATCACTGTGGTGTATTTGCAAAGGAGTGATTACATGATTTTGTAATCACATTTCTCCATCAAATTTATGTGCTTTTTCCTTCCAAAACAAGGCAAATCTTTCAAATGCTACAGTTAGTTTTTCCTTTACATGTTCTTTTATCACAAGGAAATATTTGGGATGGGATTTTGGGGATTTTTCCTTGTTCCTCCCAAAATTTGAGCTGTTTCATACTTTCTGAGCTGTGTTTAGTGCTTCTAATTTCTAGAATGTTGTAGTTTTACTTTTGCAATAGTCTATGATTTTTTGCCAACTATCATCCTCATAAAAGGCAGAAAGGTAAAGACATGGATGGTGTATAAAGGTAGTTTCTTCCTAGTGTAGATTTATTCCTAGAGGTATACTCCCTTCTGGAGTGATTTACTCTGTGTCAGTTTAGAATGTAGTCCTCTGTTTATTAACTGCACTCATGTTTCAAAAGGTATGCATTAATTGCTTTTGTAATTGTATTTTGATTTTTGCAGTTGCAATGGAAGCCACATCCAAAGACTTGAACCTGTCAAAGAAAAATCAGATCTAGACTTTTACACCAAAAGGATGAAATTCATAGCATTTCTAGAGACCTAAGCTGTAAACACATTTGACAGTAATCTGCTGATTGGCTTTGTTGTCTCACAAAAGGAAAATGGTGTGCGTGCATGTGTGTGCATGTGTGTGTAATCCTCAATTAATTTACAAATTATTGAGGTCCACAGTGATTTGAGTGATGGCAGGGTTTTCATTTTCTCCTTTTGAATTTTGGAAATGGAAATTCTCTGCTTTGATTCTGGGCAATGGGGTGTGATTTTTTTTAATATACACTGCTCAATTGGAAGGTTATTTGTTTTCCTTATTTATTTCTTCATGAATTTTTTTTTTATATTTCTTATATCAAGCAAATGAGATAAATTTTATACAGTATATGGCAGATATAAGCATGGCAGTAAAATAACTTAGTAATATACTCATCAACTTAGATGTAGTAATATACTCATATGATGTTTATTAATATGTAGACAGAATACAAAGGAATTGTCTTAAGAGTTCAAGTTAAAAACACTCTCACAAAAGTCAGAATATTTTCCTCAGTTTATTCTGTGATTCCTTTGTTTGAATCTATTTCTATTTGTAGTTTGGAATTCTTTATTAATCTATTCACTTATTTTTTTCCTCTTATTCTGTAGTCCCTGGATGGATTTGTATTTGCACTAAATCAAGAAGGAAAATTTTTGTACATTTCAGAAACTGTCTCCATCTATTTAGGCCTGTCCCAAGTAAGTACATGCTTTCAATTCTAGAACATAACTTACATGCTTTCAGTTTTAGAACATAACTGTGTATGATGCATTCTTCTGTTTATTGTTATTAAGGAAATAATAATTTGGTTTCTGTGTTTTCCATGGATTGTTGAATTAGCTGTTTAAAGTTGCATCCTGTTCATCCTGAGACACAGCTGAAAAATGTGTCTACAGTATTGGATGCTGAGATGTGTGAGAAAACTTTTTGTCACAAAGGATCATTATTAATTTATTGAGAACAAATGAAGTTTCTTTTCTCAGTTGTTTTGAACTTTAAACCTCTATACCTGCTAGGAAAGGGATACTCTAATAGTACTTCCCTTGTGTCCTATTACTGGATGTTTATGGAGTACCCTGCATTATCCAGGGAGCTGACACGATGACAGGGAGTCATTTGGAGTCAAGAAATGCTGAAAGAGGCCATTAAAATGTCTTGCAGGGAGGGTTCCAACAAGGACACATTTTGATGCTTTCACCAGTGCTCACTAATATGAAAAGATGAATTTATAAAATATAGTAATTTGGGGGGTTTTGGTTTGAGGTTATTTTTTTTTCCATTTAATTGCTGACAACTGTTTTTCAAAGATTAAAAGGCAGGGCAGAAGTAGAGCAGAAGTTAGTTGTTAATAGTTATTCCTAATCCTGCAGCATTCAGAAATGTTTAGGCATGATAGATTCTTTCTGCTTTCACTTAGAAATGAAGCAGAAATATTTTGCATGATGATTTTCAGAGAGGGACCATCTACTTCTACTGCAGTCACCCTGAGGAGGAAAAGAAAAACTGAAATAATACTTATTTCAACTACTTTAAATTGGGACCACACAGCTATGAGGAAGCAACTATTTGCATAGGCTACTTACTGTCCATTTTGTTGTACCCCACCAACAATTAAATGGGAAGATTTAATATTTGGTGACCAAAAAAAAGACTAATTTTAAATAGTATCAGGTGAGAATATGAATAGGGACTAAGTCCTAAAGAACATGCAAGCAACTGGCTGTAGTAAGTTCAGTCATTGTTATTTTGTGCTGGTTTTGGCAAACCCAATGATAGAAATGGAAACAAAAGCTGTTTCTAGATCATATCACTATTCTTGTCTCTCATTAAAGTCCCTCGTTTTGTAATAGACTTTAATCCCTGACTTAATCTGTTTGGGAGTTAGTAGCAAGAATCTCACATTTTGAAATTGGTGCACCACCATGTTGCTAATACAGTAAAGAACTGGAACTTTAATGTTTATTATTGTCTTATGTTCATATTAATCTGTATCCAACAAAGTCTAATAAGCCAGTAAAGAAGAAGGATGGATAATTAGTTTAAGCAGGTAAATGCTAATTAGGAAACTCCTGAAAGGCATCCATTATACACTAGCTTAAAACAAATTTTACAGCCCTGGTTAGTGGTGTAATCCAAATTCTGTCAAGGCAACTGCATTTTCTGTAATTGAGATGTGTATGTTTGCTTTGCATAACAGATGGCTCTGTATGCTTAGACTGATAGCTAGGAAAATAATAATTGCATTATTCTGGCCAAAAGAATATTAGCTCTTGGGTTTTGGCCATTTCAGTCAGTCCTCCTGCCAGCACAGCATATGCACATATATGGATTGGATTTTCAAGGAAATTGATGCATCTGGAATAGTGTGGCCATCTGAAATATCATCTGTTCAAGAAAAATTTGGCTTTAACCCTATGTTAGTCTCTCGTTAAAAGCATTTTCTGCCACTGTCTTTCAAACTATAGAGTTGATGAATTTCTCCTTACTCTGAACTCACATCATGTTGTTATGACTTTACACTCCATCTTGATCCATATACATTTCAAGAAGGGGTTCAGATAAATGAAGCAATTTTCTTTGCATGTTAGAATATTGGAAATATCATGGCCAATATGTCCGTGTGTTCACCACTGAAAGTACTGATGGAAAAACTACCAAAAATCGGAACCAGTACTGTGATTTTTTAAGAGAATAATAAGTTAAACCTACTGAGATTTACTAAAATACCTGAGTTTTTTGCTTTTCTTCCCTTCTGTCTTTATGGAGACATTTTGTATTTCTAAGACCTACAGTATTTATATATTTTTTATATATTGTTCTCTTGGTACAGCATTATATTGCTAGTCTCTTAATAATTTTAAAAGAAGTGCTGTAGCTACATCCTACTAAATCACTAGCCAAAGCTTATTTGTTGCTAAAAATATTAGCAAGTCTATCCCTAGAACCAAATCTCAAATATAAATGGAAATGCTACAGTTTTCACCATACCAAACTTAAAATTCTTGTGAATTCTGAATTTCTGGGTTGGTGCTATGTGATACATGTGGTTTTGTATTTCTTGCACTGCAAGTAAACATTGATATACCTTATGCTGATACTCCACAACTTTATATTTTTATAGAACCTCCAGGCAGTGTTGCACTTAAAGGCATTATGATGTACATTATTATTTGAAATAGCTTCATTAATGCTGCCTTTGGAGTCTTACTTTCTAGTCAAAATACTTCTCCAAGACTTCATCCTTGTTTGGTGCTGTTTTGTTTTATTTTGTTTTTTTTTCTTTTGTTTTGTTTTTTTTTAGTTTTTTTTTTTTTAACTAGCATGCATGGAAATAATGTAAATTATGTTTTGTATTTGCAAATCAAAATCTCATGTCTCCTAGATAAAGGAAAATAGTTCTTGTATTGAATCTCAGCAGGTGACAACAGTTATGGTAGTCAATTTTACTCTTTTTTGAACATTTAGAGCCAGTGGTGCAAAACAAATGGATGCCAATGTTCTAAGATAGCTGCAGGACTAATAGTAAACAAATCTGATAAAACAATATCTTGGAAGTTAGCCTGAAAATTATGATAATAAAGTTACCCCTAGCAAAAGTAACAGTATATTTGAACAGTAAACAAAAATTGCAATAAATACCCTTTTGACATTACAGCGAATATAACTTATATGTAGACACACATCAACATATATATTTTGAATCATTTTTTTGCATAATTTATCTTCACGCTAATTCTAACCAAGAATTTTAAGCTAATTTGGCAGATATATATTTCAGACCGCACTGTGGAATTACAATCTGATCAGTTTCAGAGAACAGAGATACATTTCAAAGTTTAGGAAATGAGAGTTAGCTGAAAATAATACGTGAGAGAAGGTAAAGAGTCAAAGCAAGAGAAATGGACCAACAATCTCCCAGTTAAAGAATTTATGTATATTGGCTTTTGACTATGTTAATTGTAATAGTTTAGTTATACTTGAGGCAAGCTGAAATAGGTGAACATTCTTTTCAGTTCTTTCATGAACTGTAGTATTTGTTGAAAGACCCAGAAATGTCTAGAAATGTGCAGTGTGGCCAGGATTTCTTCTTTGGTTGGACAACATAATCTGTGGTGGTGTAGCCAATACAAACATCTTTTTACATTGGATCGCTGTAGTGATGTAAAAATGTTTTTTCTTCATATATATCTAGTCCCATGCATTTTCCAAGTCAGTAGGTAATTTTTGATATAAGGGTAACTTCGATGTTTGAAACCCTCAGTCCCTGATGTTCTTTTAGAAATTGGATGAGATTTCAAAAGAAAATGGCTAACCACTGAAGAGGCATTCAAACCACTCCTTCCAGCACTTAGAAGTCAGTGTGAGTGCATCCCTAACAGATTTCAATTCTCTTGAAAAGTGTCTGTGTTTGAGACTGGGACCAAACACATGATGAAACATAAATAGTAACAAAAAGGGAGAAAAGTCTATCCAGAAACAGATAGAATAAAAATGTGTTATCCAGAAAGGATAAAATTACCTGACATATGATGTTTCAAGTTCAGTAGAAAATGCTATGAGCTAATAATCTGGCTAGGATGCTTTTGCATTCAGGAAACAAGTTCTTAATCATCTCTTACAATAGTTGCACTCAGCAAGGATGGTATGCATTGTTTCCTGCCTGTGAGGTCCACATCTTAAAGTAAAATATTTCCTACCTTTGCTCCTACTTGCCCAGGACACAGAGCAGATTGGCCTGTTGAAAAGAGAGCTCACTAAAAATGAACAGTGCAGCTGCTGGCCTAATAAGAGATAGATAATAGAGATGAAAAATAAAGAAAACAAGAATAAAATTTTGAGAATGTATACATTTGAAAGTAAAGCAGGCAAAACCAACAAGTATATTACATGTGTACTCTGCTACCAGTAGCATAACATATTTCCTTATTTTGGCTTTCTGTGCACTTGTTCTATGAAATGGCAAATAAAATTATAGCTACAGCACACAAGTACAAGGTCAAATAAATGACAGTACTCATTCTATTTGTGAAGCTATTCTGAAAAGGAACCATGGTGCCAAATGTGGTTTATTTGAATAATAAAGAAGAATTAGATTCCCCTGATAACTTGGCTGAGGGCCAATAAATCACTGGAGGTTAAGAATGCTTTGCAACTGCCATGTATTTCTTTTGCTTTTACGAAGCACAAACCTCAGCTACTATGCTCTACCTGTTTTTCAATGCAAATCAAGTTGAGGTTAGTAGATGGTTAAAGGATTGCTTTTGTGCTCTGTTTGCTTAAAAAATAATATAAAGCAATCTTGACACTTGCACTGATTCTGTAAATTGTGTCTTATTCTCCTCTTATTCGATTAACAAACTAATAATAATAATAATAATAATGCAAAAAAAATTAAAAATCCAGAACTTGAAGCAAAACTAGACAATAACCAATTGTGAACTTACTCTTTTTTTGTGATGCTGTCATTGTTTTAGTGTTCTGAATTTAAATACTTCTACATAAAATGATCACTTGTGCTCATACAGTAAATTGGTACACTAGCACTGATAATTTTTTAAGTTTTTCCCCTTTAAATAGAGCAAATAAAAGACTGGGAAATTCTGTGTTGATCATATGGGGCTTTAAATATTTTTTTCCCTTAACATTCAGTTTAAGAATATTAATTTACTGTTGTATTTTATACTAAAAGAAGTGAACA